GGGACACGCACGTGGCACGTGCCGTGGGGACACTCGCGGGCGTGGGGGACACTCGTGCGGGGGCGACACGCACGTGGCACGGGTGGGAGGGACTCAGGGGGGCTGCGGCGGGAGGGTCTGGGGGGTCTTGGGGCAAGGTGGGGGGAACATGGGGGGGTCTGAGGGCCCCCCTGGCTGGGCTGTCCCTTCTCCCACGGGTGCCCTTGGCTTTAATCTCTCCCAGATCCCCCAAATCCCCCAATTCCCCCAAATTCCCCTTTCCCCCCAGTTCCAGGGCTCTGCTGCTCCCAGGGTTCCAGTTCCAAGGCTGATCCCGGGTTTTGGGGCAGGGCAGGGGGGAATGGGGTGGGGGATAAGGGCAAAGTGGGCACATGGAAAAGGGGGATGGAGGAGCTGGAAAGGGGAGACACGGAAAAAGGGGGGTCCCATTTCCCTCTTTGGGGGAGGGGCCTCCCGGAGCCGATTGCTGGGAAATCCCGGGATAAAATTACCCCCCAAAATAGCCGGAGGGGGGGGGTGGTGGTGGAGGGGATGGGGGTTGAGGCCGTTCCCGGCTGCTCCTGCTGGGACACGGTGGGAGACGCCCCCCCAGCCCCAAATGCACCCCCCAGCACAACAGGGGGGTGGGGACCCCCAAATTGTCCCCCAGTGTCACAGTGGGGGAGTTGGAGACCCCCCATATCTCTCCCGGGGTCAGTGGGGGTGTGGGGACCCCCAGATTCTCCCTGGGGACAATGGGGGTAGTGGGGACACCCCAACATCCCCCCCCAGGTCCCAGTGATGGGGTGGGGACCCCCCGGGGACACTGGGGGTGTGGGGCCCCCCAAATTCCTCCCCCCGGATCACAATGAGGGGGTGGGGACCCCCAAGCTCTCCCTTGGGGACAATGGGGGGTTCCCAAAGAGAGGACACTCCCCCATCCTTGTTTCGGGGGGGGTCCCATCCCAGAAACCCCCTTTCCCCCCCCTCGGAGGGGTCTCCCCGCCCCGGGGCCGTTTCCCTTTAAGGGAGGCGGGGCGGGGGCGGTGCCGGGGGGGTTCCCGGGATTTGAGTGGGGGGGTCAGCGGGTCCGGGGGGCCGATGGGACGATGCTCCGCGTGTTCCTCCTCCGCGCCGAGAACCTGCGCTCTCCCGACTCGGACATCAGCGACGCGTACTGCTCGGCCGCCTTCGCAGGTGGGGGCTGGGGGGCTCGGGGAGGGGGCGCAGGGCTCGGGGGGGCTCTCCCGGGCGGGTCCCGGGGTTTGGGGGCTCCCTCCGGGGGGGGTTTGCCCACGCCGGGCTCTGCCACCGCCGCGGGGACGGGGAGAAAGTCATGGGAGGGTCCTGCTTGTGTCCCCCTCCCCTTCATACCCCTCCCCTCAATTTGTGACCCCCTCCGTGAGCGCGGCCACGCTGCCACGCCCCGCCCGATACGTGGGGACCCCCCTTAAGCCCCCCCACTTTCTTTTTTGGGGGGACATGGCTGAGCGGTGACACCAGCGCCGATATTTTTGGCCTCTCTGCGCTCCTGGGGGGGGAGGGGCAATGCCGAATTTTGGGGAGTTGGGGGGCGTGTCCCTTCCCTGCGACCCCTCTGGGCTCGAGGGGGGGGTCCCACGAGTTGGGGACCCCCCCGGGACAGGCGGTGCCGGGGTGGGGACACCCCCAGGTCCCCCCAAAAGTGCCACTGGGGGCCACCCCCCCCTCCCCAAAAAAGGGGTGACAGAAACGACAAGGCGAGGGTGACGTCACAGCTCGTCTGGGACGTTTTTGGGGTGAACAAGCAGCTTTTTGGGGCGGGTCGGGCCAGGAATCACCTCCGGGGCTTTGTGCTGCTTTTCCCTGGATGGGGGCGGGCCCTTTCCCGGGATTTGGGTGCTCCCCGTGTCCCGCTGCTCCCGCAGCTGCCGGGGTGTCCCTTCCCGGTGTCCCATCCCCAGAACCCCCGGGACAGGGGCCTGGACAGCCGCAGTTCCCGGCATTCCCAGCTCCCGGGCTTTGCGGGATCGCAGCATTCCAGACTCCGGGAGATTTCCCAGCCCCAGATCCCGGTGCTGGCTCATCCTCGGGCCTCAGAATGTCCCCAGATCCCAGGGATTTCTTTCCCATGCTGGGATCACAGCCCCCACATCCCGGTGTTTGGAGGATCCCCGGGACTCGCAGCGTCCCCAAATCCCAGTGCCAGCCCCTCCTCGGCTCCGCAGTTTCCCTGGATCCTGCGGGTTTATTTCTCATCCCGGGATGTGTCCTGGAAGTTCTCAGCATTCCTGAGTCATGATGATGGAGTTTACCATGTTTGGGATCTGCAGCTTCCCTGGATCCCAGTGCCAGGCCTTCCTGGGGATTTATTTGCAGCATTCCAGTGATTTAATTTACCATCCCTGGGGGTTGGAGCTTCTCTGGATCCTGGGGCTTTATTTCCCATTCCAGCTCCAGGGGGTTTATTTCTCACCTTGGGATATGTCCTGGAGGTTCTCAGCGTTCCTGAGTCACCCTGGTTATTAAATTTACCCTGTCTGGGATCTGCAGCTTCCCTGGATCCCGGTGCCAGGCTGTCCTGGGAATTTGCAGCAGTCCTGTGTCCTCAGGATTTCATTTCCCATCCCTGAGACTTTCATCATCCCTCGATCTCAGAGATATATTCACCATCCCTGGGGTTCACAGCATTCCCACATCCTGGTTCCAGGCCATCCTTGGATTCCAGCATCCCTGGGTTCCAGTGCTTTGATTTCTCATCCCCAGGCCTTGCAGCTTCCCTGGATCCTGGGGCTTTATTTCCCATCCTGGCTCCAGGGGGTTTATTCCTCACCCTGGGATGTGTTCTGGAGGTTCTCAGCGTTCCTGGCTGAGTTTGCCATGGTTGGGACCTGCAGCTTCCCTGGATCACAGGGAACTATTTCCCATCCTGGGTTTGCAGCTTCCCTGGATTCCAGTGAATCATTACCAGAGATCCCAGTGAATTATTTACCATCCTGGGTTTGCAGCATTCCTAAATCCCAGTGAATTATTTACCATCCTGGGTTTGCAGCATTCCTAAATCCCAGTGAATTATTTACCAGATCCCAGTGAATTATTTAGCATCCTGGGGCTGGCAGCATTCCCAGATCCCAGATCCCAGTGCCAGGCCATCCTAGGGGTTCACAGCATTCCTGGGTCCTCATGATTTAATTTACCCTTCCTGGGATTTGCAGCATCCCTGGATCCTGATGCTGGGACATCCTCAGGCCTTGCAGCATCCCCAGATCCCAGGGATTTCTTTCCCATCCCTGGCACTCACAGCAATCCCAAATCCCGGTGTTTGGGCATCCCTGGGAGTTCCCAGCATCCCTGCGTCCCAGTGCTTTCATTTCCCAGGTCTGATCACCTGGATCCTGGGATTTATTTACCATCCCTGCCTCCAGGGGAGTTATTTACCTTCCCAGGGTTTGCAGCATCCCTGGATCCTGGTGCCAGACCATCCAGGGGGTTTCCAGCAGCCTCTGAGCCCCAGGGATTTATTTCCCATCCCTGGGAATTGCAGCATCCCTGGATCCTGGTGCTTGGGTATCCTTGGGCCTTGCAGCATCGCCAGATCCCGCTGGATTATTTCCCATGCCGGGCTTTGCAGCATCCCTGGATCCCAGAGCCAGGCCAGCCCTGGAGTTCACAGCATCCCTGAGTCCTGGTGCCTGGCCACTCCCAGATCCTGGAGCATCCCTGGATCCCGCTGATTTATCCTCCTCCGTGACTCCAGCATCCCTGGATCACACTGATTTATTCCTTTTCATGGCTCCAGCATCCCTGGATCCCGCTGATTTAGTCCCTATCATGGCTCCAGCATCCCGGGATCCCGCTGATTTATTCCTTTTCATGGCTCCAGCATCCCGGGATCCCACTGATTTATCCCCCATCCCGGTGCCTCCCCCCGGTCCCCCCTCCCCGCATCCCTCCCATTATCCCGGTTTTCCCACCCTCCGGCGCCGCCGCTCCGAGGCGTTTTTTGTGCCGCCTCCCGGCGCCTCCTCCCGCCGGGAAGGGCCGGCCCGGGAAAAGGGGGGGGATCGGGATGGGGGGGTGGGATCCTGCCCGCTCCCGGCTCCATCCCGGCCATGCTGCGGGTCCTGCTCCAACGGGCCACCCACCTCCCGAGCCTGGAAAAGCGGGATAGGCAGAGCGATCCCGTGGCCAGCCTGACCTTCCGAGGTGAGGGATCCCCGACTTTGGGATGGGAGGGGGGGTTTGGAGGATTTTTGGCTGCTTTGGAAGCCCCTTCCCACAAAGCCCGGGGGCTGCT